GTCTGGGGAACTGCGAAGACGAAGCAAGGGAGTATGCTGAACATGTACGTTTTACTACGGGAGCGGGCTGATTGTTGCCTCTTGAAGGCCCTCTTGAAGCCCTCTTCGGCCATCTTCAAGCCATCTCGGGCCCTCTTGGGCCTCGCTGAGGCTGTCCTGGGGCCCTCTAGGGGGCCCTGGGAAGTTGGAAATTATGTTCCCGGAGAGGCTTCCGGGAACATGATTTCGAACGGGGCCCTCTTGGGCCTTCCTGAGGCCGTCTTGGGTGCCTCCTGGGCCGGCTTCGGGGCGTCTTAGGCTGTCTTGGGGGTTCCGTGAGCCCCACAGGACGACCCTTTCGGGCCGTCTTGGGCCCTCTTGGGTATTTGGGCGTGTTGGGGCTCCTCGGGGGCGATCTTGGGAGCCTTCGTGGCCGTCATGGAGCGTCGGGAAGCCTAAAAGGCGGGAGCCCCAAAAACCTTAGAAAAACAATTGACAAATCAATGATTTCTGTCTCTTGGGATCCTCTTTGGGCCCTCCTGGGAGCCTTTTGGGGGTCTCCGGAGCCGTCTTGGAAGCTGTTGAGGCCGTCTCGGAACCATCTTGGGCGTCTTGGAGAGGCTTTTGGGCTATCTATACATATACATATACATACACATACATACCTATGCACATACACATACATAGACACACACACACATATACATATACATATACATATACATAAGCATATACACATACCTATACCTATATCTATACCTATACCTATACCTATACCTAAACCTACGCCTATACCTATACCTATACCTATACGTATACATCATGTTCCCGGACCGCTCTGGGAACATGATCGGGGGGATCTCTCTGGCGTAGAGCTGGGCCGTATCGAGGCTCTCTCCATGACGTTTTGGGCCGTATCGGAGCCGTTTTGCGGGCCCCGTCCGTCTGTCCTACTGCTCCTCTCCAAACCCTCGTTCCCTAACCTCCCGATCATGTTCCCGGACCCCCGTCCCTTCCCCCCAGAGCACCGCAGCAGTAGGAAAGCGTTCCGAAACGGTGAGAAATCATGTTCCCGGAAAGCGTTCAAGATTATGAATCGCACGTCGTCCAAGGCGCCTCGGAAGGCGCAGAATACCCCTCCAAGGCGCGGAATCATGTTCCCGGACCGCCTTCCGGGAACATGATGGGGACGACCTCCTGAGGGCCTCCAGTGGGCCTCTTGGGGGCCTCTCGGAGGCCTGTTGGGCTCTCCTGGAGGCGTCTTGGGGCGCGCTCAGGGCCATTTTGGGCATCTTGGGGGCCTCTTGGGGGCCTCCGGGGAGGCTCTTGGGGGCCTCTTTGGGGCCTCTTGGGGCCTCGCGGGGCCCTCTTGGGGCCCGCTGGGCTCGCTTAGGCAGTCTTGAAGCCCTGTCGGGGCTCTCCTGGAACCGTCTTGGGCGGCTCCTGGGCCATCTTGGGGCTCTCCTGGGCCGTCTTGGGACGATTTTGGGGGTCTCTTGGGCCGTCTTGGGGCGGTCTTGGGGGCCTCTTCGGCCGTCTTGGAGCGGTTCTGGGAGACTCTTGGACGGTCTTGGAGCGTCGGAACCCGGAAAAAGCGAGAAGGCCAACAACATCGAACAAAAACAATAAACATCAACGATTTTGGCTTGTCGGCGCTCTCTTGGGAGGCCTCTTGGGATGCCTTCGGGGCCTCATGGAGCTCTCTTGGAACGTCTTCGGGCCTTCCTGGCCATTCCTGAGGCTATCTATGCGCGTCTTGGAGCGCTCGCGGGCCGGGCCGTCTTGGGCGGTCTCGAACTGTTCCTGGCGGTCCCGGGGGCCCTCCGGACGCTTCGGACGCTCCCGGGGGCGCCCTGCACCCCCCATGGAAATTACAGGCAGCGCCCCGGGCCGCCCCCGGGCCCTACTCCGATATCTATATATATATATATATATATACACATATATATATATATATACGTATATATATATATATGTATATATATATATATGTATATATATGTGTATGTGTAAGAGAGAGGGAAATAAAGAAAGAGAGAGAGAGAGAGAGAGTCGCGCCATCGAGGCTATAGACCCTTGTAGATTACGCGATGTTCGCGTGCCCGGCTACGAGCGCCAATGAATGATGCCATATTCGCATCCCCGAAGCGAAATGTCCCAGTGCGTCCGGCAAGACTTGTGCCCTCGAGGCCATACATCCTCGCGCCCCGAAGCCACGACCCCTGGCAAATTACACCAGGTTTGCGTCCTCGACGCCATCTTTCCCCGCAGATTGTTCAAGATTCACGTCCTCGAAGCTACAATCCTTCAAAACATACGCGGTACTTTGCGTCATCAAGGCCGCGACCCCGTGCAAATTGTACGACGATCGCATTCCGAAGCCACGGCCCTCGTAAAACGCAGCGCTCGCGTCCCTAAGGCGACGGTCCCTTGTACATTATACAAGACTCGCGTCCCAGAGGCGACGATCCTGCGTAAATAACTCCATCGTCGCGTCCTCGAAGCCATACGCCACCGTACATTAAACAAGATCTGCGTCACCTAAGCCACGGTCCCACGTAAAGTACTCGATGTTCGCGTCCCCGAAACCACGGCCCCTAATAATTTTACGCAATGCCCGCGTCCTTGAAGCCACGATCCCCGGTGAATTCTACAAATATTCGCGCTCCCGACGCCACGATCCCCCGCAAAAGCACGCCATGCTTGCGTCCTCGAAGCCATCGCCCCTCCAAAAATACATAATATCTGCGTCCTCGAAGCCATGAGCAGTGTGTACAGTACGCAACGTTCGCCCTCGATACCATAAGCCCTGTCTCCGCAAACCACGCCCTTGATCACCATCGACCGTATTATCATCACCAGCGCCCGCAGCGGCATCATGATCAACATCTCCATCCCCATCACCATCGGCGTCAGCATCAACATCATCAGCACCACCATCGGCGTCAGCATAAGACTGTTTTCAGACTGCGCCAAGTCATCCTGATATAGCTCTTATGCACACCGCTGTGATAGAAATGGGGGCCAGCGGCAGGGGGCGAAGCCCTCGCAGGTTTTTTATCACTGGTCGCCCAATAGATTTTGACGTTTCAACCTTCGCGCCTGAATGGGGGTGCAGACGAGGCTGACATCTACGGGACGCGACGCCGAACGCGTGAATCAATGCGAGCTTGCGGTCTGAAGCAGCCGCCTAGTACGGCGCCGACCGACCATTGAGGATCAAAACCCGCCACCTGGATGAAACCTCCACCGCGCCAATGACGCAGTCTGGGCGGCCCGGGGCTGCGGCGGGAATCCACGTCAACAGGAACGCAACGAGAAATGTTCCCGAGCGTCTACTCATCCCCAAACATCTTCAATGTTTTGCCGAAGCACCGCAGGAACCTTCCAAAATGACACAGGCACCCCATAATTCCGCAAGGGCTCGAGTGAGCCAGTACGAAGCACGACGGAACGCGCGACGGGCGCCAAGCCCCAGAGCCCGCCCCCGCCCGCGGAGCGCCACCCAGATGATGCACTCTGGGCAGGGGCGCAGCCCAGACCCGCGGCTGGTGAAACGAACGATTTTGTTGTCTTGGCCGGCCCAGAACCACAAAGTCCTCACTTCACCGAGCTGGGCTGGCGAAGGTTCCAGGGGCCGGATGCTGCGCGCGCGCCCCGAGGCGGAGGGCCCCATCGACGCAGGACCGCGCCTCTGCTTGAGCACGCGCATGGACCAGCGGCGCAGCGGGCGCCGCCCCGCGCCTGAGGCACGCCGAGAAGAAGAGTGCAGATCTTAGCTTACGCGACAAAGGCCCCTTCGACATTGTTGGATGACCTTGGAGAATGCGGTGATTAAGAAAGATCGAACCGCGAACAGACCACCATATGCGGCCTAAGCTCCGATCCGTAATCCGCTCGCACCAACGGACAGGCCGACGCATCGCGCCGCTTGGCGCTTCCGATCGGTCGAGATTTGCAACTGTCTGGCATGTTGGCCATTCTCGGAAATGCGGGCGGCATCTCGGGATGATAGTATGCACTTGGTTGAGGCTTTTGGCGGAGGCAACCTGCAACAACGTTGAGGACAAGCCGCAAAATAATGCGTTGCAGCGCTTATAGCAGAAAAGACGACAAACCATGAGCAGTATGCTTCCGACTTAGGGGATGCCGCTGCTCGTGCTGAAAAGCCCTCACCACCACGGCTGGAATCTCCTCGGAAGTCTGGTCAGACTGCATCCCGGGAAAGTTCCAGGGAGCAGCGGTAATTATCGATGCTTGTTTGCCCCCGCTGCTCGGACATCATCGCGCTGTGAAGACGTCACGGAGGGAGGTTTTTGGTAGTTTTCGGCCTCCAGGGGCCCTCACTGGGTCCCGCAGGACTGTCAAACAACTGGCCAGGAGGGAAAAAAAACACCCCGGGGGAGGAGCACGGTGCAGACCTATGGGGGGCCAAGTTGGGTCAAAGATCACGACGCTGGATGACTGGGAATAGTTATCGATGACGCCGCTCGTCCTGGAATACCCTCGCCCCCACGGCCAGATCCCCTTCGAGGTCCCAGGGCGAGGGGTCCGTGGAGCAGCGGTACGGCGTCATCTTTGGGCGGTGGCGGAGCAAGCTCCAGGGGCAAAACCGCAAGACTCCAAATCCCTAGCGCTCCGCCCCGTCCGCCTTGGGACACTCGGGGCGGCCAGTTGGGCTTCTGGGGCAGTGGTCGAGTTGAAACTTTTGGAACTTTGCCGCCCGATCGCACCGCCGGAACACTGGGCGGCGAGCACAGAGGAACAACACACGGCATAGAGCATAAACACAGTTCCTCGGAGGTCCGCGCGGATTTCTTGGATCGGCGCTGGACCCCTCTCCCTGTCGCGCGGAGCGCGCCAAGGAGGGGGACCGGAGGCGCCGCGAGAGGGGCCCACTGCCGATTCAAGAAACCCGCGCGGACCTCAGAAAAATCTCCGCTTTCTGTTCTTCGAGGATGGGCAAATCACGATCTGCGCATTCACCTCGCCGTGCTCACTCCCATCCGCCCCCCCAGCTCCAGGGGCACGGCCACCCACTGCCTGCCGACGGGGATCGACAACGAGACCTCGGGCAACGGCAGGTCCGGGTCAAGGCACCTGAGGGGCAACGTTGTGCGGGAACCGGCTCGGGGGGGGGGGAAGCATCGACCTGGAACCCGCGATACCAGAGGCCTCCCAGATGGGCGATAAAAAGAGGATCTCACGCGAGAGGACACAGCGACCTTACGCAGAGGCTTGCGCGGGCCGCCAGCGCGGCACGCTGCATGGGAAACGAGGGTGCTCACGCGCAGCCTTACGTGGAGAGCTCACGCGCAAAATTTGGCGCAGTCGACCCTGCTTTCGTCCGTCGCTCAGATGGGGTCGGAGTAGGTGGACTCAGAGGGTCGCGCAGCATCGTCGATGCCTCACCGAAGCATCGGCGATGCATCGGCGACGTCGGCGATGCATCGGCGAAGATGCATCTGCGGCGTCGGCGTGGAAACAATCGGTCTCCATATCGAGCCGCATCGCCGATGTATCGGCGTTGCGGCGCGATCCTCCGACCCCATCGAATCTGACCCTATCTGGGAGGCCTAGAGACTAGAGATTCACTGCCGATTGATCGGCGATGGGCCACCGATAGCGAAGCCGCATGCTCCTGAGCGGGGTGGGCTATCGGGCCCCGACTCGGCGAACAGTCAGCGATCTGGGGTCGATGCGTCCCCCCTGAGTCAATCCCCTGGTAGTTTTCGTGCCATGACTCTGCTCTCTGGCGGCATGTAGGACGATCTGGGCAGCCCCAGAGCGCCCTCGGCGAGGCACGGCCGCTAGAGGGAGCCCGAGGCTGGAAAGCCGCCGAGCATCGACGAAAACCTCCGCAAACCTCGAACCTCGAAACCTCGAGACCTCGAACAGCCAAGGCTCGAGAACCTGGCGTTGCCCCTGACAAGCCCCCCCCCCCCCCCTGGCCGGCCCCACGGCCTCCACGCAGGCCCTGCCCTCCCCTACTCCTACTCTCTCGTATGTCGTGGTTCACTCAGACTGTTGCGTGTGGCAGTCGTTTGCGACGCCACCGCCAAATTTGCAAGGGCTCCCACGAGGGCGCGAAGTTATTCGCGCTTCGCGCTTCGCGGTCCTCGTTCCTTCTCCCCCTCCTCCTCGTCCTCCTTTTCTCCCTTTGGGGGAGCGGCGCGAGAGCGCGAAGTTATTCGCGCTTCGCGCTTCGCGGAGCGCGAGAGCGCGAAGTTGGGAGCCTCAGGTTTGAACAATGCGAAAAGTAGGCTTTCGCTGGCTGCTGCCAGCTCCTTGCCGAATCTCCACAGCGGACGAGGGCTCGGTGGTTCAGCGAAGGCGCCGCCGCCCAATGCAAGACCACCAGTCTCGAAATTCCCTTTCCAGGGTTTCTTGAGGCGACGCTGTCGCCACATGCAGCTTGCGGCAGGGAAGAGCTCACAACAGTTCTCCCCCCCTTTCGCCGTCGCTCGGACGTCCACTCCCCGTGCATGCTTCGACCTCGTGCGTGTCTTCCTGTCGCGAGATGCTCCAAGATGCTCCTCGATGCTCCTCGCCGAGACCGACAGAACACGCACACGTCCGAGCGAGGCCAGAGCCCAACGCGGCCCCCGAGCACCGCAGCGTCACCCGGACCACCAGCTTCGTGGCTGGCCCGCAGCCCTCCGGGTCCGGCAGCCGCAGCCGCTCGGGCACCAGCCCCCCGCGCGACACGGCGGCCATGAGCCGGCCAGCCCTCCAGGCCAGGACGACGCGCATGGGCAGCGGCGGGCCTGCGGAGGGCCGGGACTGCCCCGGAGGGGGGCACAAGGACCGATCCGCCGGTGCACCGAGCTGCCGCAAGCAGATGCCCCCCACGCGCCCCGCCCGTCGGCAGCTGTTGGGAGCTGCCGGCGGCTGGGGGGCATCTGTTCGTGGCGGTTCGGTGCACAAGCCGATCCAACTCTCTCTCTCTCTCTCTCTCTCTCTCTCTCACACACACGCACACGCACACGCACACGCACACGCACACGCACACGCACACGCACACGCACACACACACGGGCGGACCCCCCCTTTTGCGTGATCCCGAATGGGGCCCGAAGTACAGTCGGACCTAAGACAAAAGAACGTCCTTCAAGAACATGGGACCCTCCACCTGCCAAAACACACAGAACATCCAAGGGTACCCTCCCCAAGATGCACCAGAAAATCCAACAAACTCGCGGAACCGGAAGGTACCCTCCCAGTTCGACTGCAAGACAAAGCCAGGACGATGACAGAATCGGGTGAGAATAGATCGAGGATCTCTGAGAGCCAGCGGCTCTCTGGAAGATGTATCGGGCGCCGCGGCCTTCTCAGAGCGTTCCGGAAGGGCCTGAGAGCGTTCCAGAAGGCTCGGAAATGGATCTATCCTGATCCTAGCCCCGTCCGACGAAGCATCCCTGGCATCCCCGCGTCGAGACGACACCGATAGCCCGTTGCCTTGTTTTCACACCGCCTCGAAACACGCAGCAGAAAGATGTGGTCTATGGCTCCGTCTGTGATTTTCTGCGACGTTGTATCTCATTCGCACCGTCGGATCGTAGGGGATACCGCTGCTCGTCCTGGAGAGCCCTCGCCGCCGCGGCCAGACATTCTTCGAAACTCGAATCAGAATGCACCCCGGGAGAGGTCCAGGGGTGAGCGGCATCGGCATACCATTTCGTCCCCGCCACCCGGACGTCCTCGCGCTGGGAAGGAATGACGGCGGGAGGTGTTCGGCAATGTTCGTCCGATGGGATCCCGTGCCGGGCCCCGGGACTGTCGAAACAACGACTCGGAGTGAGAACCCAGGCCCCCGACGTCGTGAATCTCTTTATAGCGTCGACCGTCAGAGGTCTCGACCCACTCCCCCGGAGCGTTTTCTTAAATCCTGAGTCGTTCTCGGACGGTCCCGAGGGCCGAGAAGGGCCTCCAGAGGCTGAACATATGAGGAAAACTCCGACATGACTTTTTCATTACCCGAAGGGGTCTGTGAAGCTGGCTCACAGGAACGGCTCCAGACCACTGGGGAGCCCCGCTGCGGAACGTTCACGGCGTCGGATGCCTGGGTATACTGCCAAGCCGCCTGGTCGGCCAAGGAGCTCGGCGTGGAACAGACGCACACGCTGCCGGGCCCCGTGGGGCGCCCTGGAGCGCCTGCGCCCCGACTCTTGGGCGCGAAGCGAAAGAGGGGGGCGGTAAGCGGCCGATGCAGGAAACCCTCTGGACCAAAAGCTGGTTTCGTCTCTCGGGGCGCGCAGGTTTTGCTTCCGCCACCTTCCGCCGCCCTTCCTCCGCCGCCTTCCGCGGCGGAAGAGATGACAACTCCTTCGATTCTCGAAGGCAGGGCCATCTTTGGAACGCCTCGCATGGAGGGGGGAGAAAGGTGCCCCTTTGGGGCCCCAAAGGCCCCCTTTGGGGCTCTAAAGGGCCCGTTGAGGGGCCCCCGTTCTTTCTGCGGCCCTCACGGCCCCCCCGATTCATCGCTCCCCCATGACGCGGCCTCCCAGAATCCTGCCGACGCCATCGCCGGCTCCTGGGTCGACCGAACGACGCGCAATGCACTCTGCAAAGATCAACGGACGGCTCGTGCTCACGGCCGGGCTCCCTGGGAGTGCCGACCCTGCCCCCGGGGCTGGTTCTGCGTGCCTCGGACGGTCCTGGGGCCCCGCGAGGGCGCCCGGAGGTCGAAACCTGCCAAGAACCTCCCGCCGTGCCTTCCTCACAGCGCGAGGATGCGCACAGGTACAACTGCCCTCAAGAGGCCCCCAAGAGGCTCCTAAGAGACCCCCAAAAATCCTCCCCAGAGACCCCCAGGAGCCTTCCCAAGAGACCCCCAGAACCATCCCTGAGGACTCAAGCCCACTTCAGCGCCGTCGTTGTCGCCGTCACCACCGCCGCCGTCATCGTCGACGTCCCCCTTCAGGGTCGGCGGCACCAGCCGTAAGGCCTTCGCAATACCGTTGCTCTTCAGACCTCTTCCGGATGCATTTTGCCTTGACTTCCGAAGAGAATCCAGCCGGGGTGGCGAGGACTCTCCAGCACGAGCAGCGGCGTCCCCCCTGAGACCCGACGCCGCGAAGAATTGCAAAACATTGCGACAAATCGCAACCGGAGCTCTAGGCCCGATCTTCCTGCGGCATGTTTCGAGCTGGATCGGATCGCTTGGGGGCCCTGGGGCCAGAAACTGGCCGAACACGCAACGCCCAGGTCTGAGGGTCGGTATACCTTTTTCTCTTCCGACACACGACAGGAAGCTTGTACACATGGCCGGTCCCGGCAATCCTGAACCCAAACATGATGCCACCTGTTGGGAGCGCATTCTTTAGTTCCCTCGGCTTCCGCCCGCCTGCCCCCTGCTTCCGCCGGCAGAGGCGGCCTCGTTGTGCTTACGCCGCCTTCCGCCGAGGAAGAGATGACAACTCCTTCGATCCTCGACGCCTGGACCCCCTATGTCGGGATTTCTTCATGACATGAACCTCTGGAGGTCTCGACCAATTACCAGGGACTGGCTTTTCATCCTGAATGGATTTTGCACGGCCCCGGGGCCCGGTGAGGGCCCCCAGAGGCCGAAACTTGTCAACCCCCCCGTCATGATCTTTCATGGTCCGAAAGGGGCCAAGAAAGAGATGATAACTCCGTCTCTACCCTCGAAGGCGAAGCCCTTTCTGGAACGCGCCCCCCTAGGGTCCGAGGGCGCCGGTCAGGCCGAGGAGCCCCGCGAGCTGCTCGGACTCGCGCTGCGGCAGCGACACGGGCGCCGCGAGGCAGAACGCGTCTGGCTTCGGCCCCGGCGTCGACAGCGCGCCGAGCAGCGCCGCCTCTCGTGGGCGAAAACAATGCATGTATCCGCGGTCTCGCGTGCGGGGCCCCTGGGCCACGACCCCGCGGATACGGGGCGTTTTGTCGCGGCTGCCTCGCGCAGAACGCATCCGTGTGACCGCGCAGGGATCGCGCCACAGAATCGAGACCCCGAGGGCGCGGATCTGGCAATGTTCATCGCTCAGAAGCCTCGTCCGCCCAGCGCAGCCTGCCCACCACCTCGAGGGAGAAACGGGTAATTCACGATGCCGTGCTCGGGGGAAACAAACCCAAATACCTGGCGTCTCGAACAAATCGAGGCGGGGGTTTTGCATCGTGTTCGACCTCCGTAGGCCCTCGTTGGGCCCCAGGGGAGTACTCCAGATGAGAAGCCGGCCCTGGGGAAAGGGTCGGGACTTCTGGGGATCCCGTATTGAAAAGTTCGGCCATCGCGTGTCTGCGCAACTACCCCAGCAAAGCACCCTCAGTAGCAGCAAAGATGAACAACAGGCGGGTCGATGGGCATGAGGTCGGTTACAGTGGCATGATATCGTGACCATCTCGAACAAAACCTGTAGCCAGCGCTGCGGCCAGAGCACAGTACCAGTTGCAGCTTCCAGTTTCCACTGTTACAGTTCTGCTTCTTGCTGCTTACTGTTCCTTGTTGACTTCTTGCTGCTTACTGTGCCTTGTTGATGGGCCGCGCGAGGGGGAGATATTCCTGAAGAACTTGTGGGGAGGTCTCCGGCGAAACGACCGCCGGACCGGGCGATTCAGGGAGGCGGTCCTGGGCTCCCCCACTGCAGGATTCTGCCGTGGTCTTTTCCTCGCAGCACCAGAACCCTCTCGGCAGATTGTCCGGCGCGCATAAAGCCACCGCCCGACCTCTGCACACGAGAACCAGCGAGCACTGTAAGCCCTGACCCTGGCCTCCGAGTCGGACGGGAACACCCTCCAGCATTCGACGCGATAATTAAAACCAACATCTGCCAAATTAAATTAAAATTGAATTAGAGCCCTCTAGCGAAACGCTGTGAGGGAAAGATGCCGATGCCGTTGCTCGTCCTGGAAAGCGCGCCCTCGCCGCCACGGCCGCATTCCCCTCGGAGCTCTGGCCAGAACGCACCCAGGCAGAGGTCAAGGGAGCAGCGCTATCGGTATGTTCCCCAACCCTGTCTTAGTTGGGCTCTCGTTTTGAACAGAGCAGTGAGATCTCCACCTCCTCCTCGCCCCCCCCCCGCTCTCCTTTCGAAACTGCTGCTGTGGGAGCCAACACATGGGGGGCCCCACACAAACCAAAACGGGACCTCGCCATCCCCAGGGGGCTGCGAAGTGTGAAGCTGTCGCCACTGTCGAGGGCTGCTGTGGGAGCCAACACAGTGGGGCCCCACACAAACTCAAACGGGACCTCGCCATCCCTTGGGGGCTGCGCGGTGTGAAATTGTCTCCACTTTCGAGTGCTGCTGGGCGGGGCCAACACAGTGGGGCCCCATGCAGTTCCAACGGGACCTCGACATCCCTGCTGAGCTGCGAAGTGTGAAACTGTCGCCACTTTCGAGGGCTTCTGGGGGGGCTGCTGTTGCGTCTCCGCCTATGTGACCTTCTCTTGCCTATGCTCCATCGTCTCGCTGCTTCTGCTGAGGTCATTGTCATTGTTCTTCCACCCCGATGTCTTCCTTTTCCCTGTCCTTCCCACTCAAATGCCTCCTGGCCTTTTGTACCTCTGTTCTGCGAAACGGCCACGCACACTTCGCACGATATAGATCTCCGCCGTGCACCGTATCTTGTAGCGTCGCTGTCGCATTCTTGTCGGCACACCTTCCGTCATCCCTTGGTGCCGATGGTTTGGGTACTTCGAAGGGTGACTCTTCCGAGGAGGGCGAGTTCTCAAATCGATCACTGGCCCTCTCCCAGGGTCCCCGCGCACCAGTTCTCCGAGCTGCATCCAGCCGCGGCGACGATGGCCCCCCCTCGAAGGTCCACTGCCATTGCCTCGACTCGCCCCCCTTCCGATTCTCGCTTCCCCACCACCGGGGCCGCGAACCCCCCGCGGCTTCGCACGTGGAGCTCCGAGGCGAGGGCGGCGGCCCTCACGGCCTCACCCAGCTCCTCGACCTGTCGGGGGGTGCCGGAAGGGGTCCTTCAGCCCGTCGTGCCACCTTGGAGCTCCTGGGGCTCTCTGGGCCTCGCGGGGCGTGCCCTGGAGGCCATCTGGGCCTCCTGGGACATCCTTGGGGGGGCACCTTGGGCCATGGACATCTTCCCTGAAATCCGACGAGGAGAAAACGTTGCAACATGGCGAAACGTCACTACCAGAGCTCTAATCCCCATCTTCCTGCGGCTGTTGTCGAGCTGGATCGATATGTGAAGGTCCCGCGGCCCAAAGCTGGCGGCTGCAGGCCGAGTGCGCTGCAGAGTAGCCTCGCCGCAGGCCGAACGCGCATTCGCCGGGGCGCCGCCGAACCCACCGCCGCGAAAATGGGCGCCGGGCCCAAGCCCAAACAGGGACGAGGTTCGGGGCCAGGGCAGCGAGCCGCGAGCTCCTGCCCAGCTTCGGCAGGCGCACCGTCACATCGACGATTCCCTGGGACGGCCGCGCGAGAATGTCCTCGCCTCTCATGAAGCGGAAGGCGAGTGCGTGCAGGGCCATGTCCGACACAAGCCACAGCGCCCAAGGGTGGATCCGCGACTGCCCCGCTGCCGCCCTCGAGTTGGACGCGAGGATGGCGGCCGGACCTGCGCGACGCCCAGCGGCGGGTGCGGGGCCCCTTCCTGCGCGTCGCCATGGCACTGCAGGACACCTCAGTACCGCGCGACGTCCTCATGTCCTCCCATTCGTCCATCGCCTTATCGGCGAGCGCGCATGGGTCCGCCCGGTCGGTCGCTCTGGAGCTCTGTGGCCTGATGAGCCCTGCCCGCGCCATGCTTGAAGGAGTCGTCGACCCAACTCCTCCAGCGCTGGGCGATGTCGCCGTCATGCTCTGCCTGCGCGTTCTCGAGCGTCGTCACGAGCTCCCCCATGCGAAGCGCAAAGTCAAGGACGACGGGGGCCTTGGCGCCGAGGCGGAAGAGCTCCTGCACCGTGGTCGGCACCTCCTGCCAAACATGCTGCATGCGATGGATCCTCGCGAAGAGAGCGAGGAGGTCGACGATAGGCTCGGCAACTACTGGGACCCGCAGAGCGCGGACGCGCACGAGGTGCTTGGCCCACCGCGCCACCCAAGTGCAGGCGAGGAGACGAGGTGGTGGGCGCAGGCGTCGCTGCGCGGGCTGCCGCTGCGCCCAGACCCACATCGCGCGAGGCTGCTCAGCGCGTCCTTCGTAGCGCCTGCGTTGCCTATCGTCCACGACGCCCTGGCGATCCAGCAGCTCCGCCGGAAGAAGGTGGCCAACTCCTCCCAGCACCGCTGCAGCGCAGCATCATCGGCGACATCCTGGATGCAGCGCTGGGCCTGCTGCCATCCCCGCGTCAAGGACGGTCGCGCACATCCTGGCACCTGGGGGTGGCAAGGCTAAGGCCACGTGCTCCATCTGGGCACGCTGCCATGGCACGCGGTCCTCGGCCAACAGGAAAAGATGCATGGCGGCATGCGCCGGGAGCGGCGTGGCATCATCCACCACGGGCGGCAGGAGGCTCGCCAGCAGGTTCCCGCAGCAGGCGGCGCAGTCGATGACCCGCCCAGACAGGTGCATCCTGCGCGTGGGGGTAGGCTGAGGCCGAACTCGACCTCAGGTCGAATCCGGCATCCGCCATGTTCAAGTCCACGATCGCGACCCAGTCTCGGCCGCAAGCTTGCAGCGGCGCAGCGTAGGAGGCAAGCGCGCGCAGGAAGGTGGCACTCCTGGCGCCCGCGCCAAAGCCCGCGTGGAAGTGCACCGAGAGCAGCGCGATACCTCCTGGAGCCCCCCAGTGGACATGGGCCGCAGCGATGCGACCGCGGGCTAACGCGCCCACCAAGCCATCGGCCCAGCCATCGCGTGGAGGCGGAACAGCCGACGCAGCCACCTGCGCGGGCGTGAGCACCGCCGCGCCGCCCGAGGAGTCACCGTGCCCCGTCGGGTCGTCAGGCGCGAAGATGCCGCGGTAAACAAGGTCCAGCACATCACTCTCGGATCGCGCCACATCAGCTGGTAGCGCGCGATGTTCCTGCGCAGCCACCGCTTTGCAGTCGGCGCCCAGCCGCTGGTGGAACGCCTTCACCGGCGTAGCATAATCACTGTTGGCAAAGGAAATGGTACCATTGTCTTGTGGAATCCCTTTGGGAAGGCCTTGTCACTGGGGAGCCGCGCAGTCCCACTTCCCCTCATCGCCGAGACGGTCATCGGCGCCCCCGCTGGGGCGCAGGGCGATGGATGGAGAGGATGAGGATGGGGATGAGGACGAGGATGGTAATGATGATGAGGAGGAAGAGGAGGAGGAGGAGGAGGAGGAGGAGGAGGAGGAGGAGGAGGAGGAGGAGGAGGAGGAGGGGGAGGAGGAGGAGGAGGAGGAGGAGGAGGAGGAGGAGGAGGAGGAGGAGGAGGAGGAGGAGAAGGAGGAGGAGGAGGAGGAGAAGGAGGAGGAGGAGGAGGAGGAGGAGGAGGAGGAGGATGGGGGGGGGGCGGAGCAGCGCTGACCACGAGGGGAGGCGAACGGACAAGAAGCGAACAAGGGACCGAAAAGAAACGGATGCGAGACACGAGAGGGGGAGAGAGATGTCCGCGGCCCCCCGTCAATCGCCAGCCTGACCAGACTGGGCCAACGCCCACTCGCGTCGCAGAAGCTGTTGAACCCGCCCTCCTCGGCGGGCCATTGCTCGAGCGCGGGCGCGGGGGGGAACGGCCGAGGAATGGCCGCAATGGCGGCGCGTGCCGACGGCGGAAAGAAGCAAATCTAACGCGAGGCACACACGGGCTATCTGAGCAGTCTGGAGGTTTCCCCACTTGCCAAAGGCACTGCAACGCGCAGCATCCATAGAGTCCCAGAGAGGCGGGAGAAGGGAAGGGGGCTCACTACACCAGGGACACGTCGAGGACATCTCAGGTGGTGAAACATCTTGCCATCGCCATCAGCACCACAGCGCCTGCATCTTTCAATCGGGGTAGAGTTCCTCCCAGGGACTCTCCAATTATTGAGGGCCGTTTTGGCGACAGAGGCAAGGGCGCAAGGTGGTTCGAACCTCGCAGCGCCGTTCAACCGAATCCCAAATCAGGAGTACTCGATGGTCCGCAAGCTCGCTGGCATACTTCCTAAGGCGCGCTTTTAAGAGGTCATTCAATGAACAGCTGTGGGTTGACTTCAGGACAGCGTAAGTTTTGGTCTGCAGACGCGGCGCTGCCCCCTCCTTCGGCGCGCCAAAAACACGAGTGGCCTGGTCCTTTACTACCTTGGGGTGCTCGAGGATCGAGCGCAGAAACGTAGCGCAGCGCCTGCAAGCAATGCGCCAATCCTTTCCCTCCAGCATCTCGTCCATCCAGCACCTCCACCTCCTATAAGCAAGGTTGCGCTGAGAAACTCGATAAGCAACATTGCGGTAGGAAATCGCAATATTCCGCACCTCCTGTTTAAATCCCACTGCGCGAAGACTGCGCATCAGCTGGTGCGGCATGCTATTGAACGGCCCAGCGTGCATCAGCTGGGTGGCTTGATACTCCACCCTGAAGGCCTCGGGACTGGGGCGCGCAGCTGACCCACGTATCCCATGACGGGGGATGCAACCATTTTGCGCGCCAGAACATTAACAGCCAAGCTCTGCCCAACCCCGCGGATTTGTCGGGATGATCGCAGGAAAAAAGATGATCGTCTTCCCCGCTTGCACCTCAAGGCCAGTGATGGAGGCAAACCAGAAGGTGACCCTGATCGCGCGCGGCAGCGACCCGCAAACATCGTCGGACGAATGGCACCATTCGTCGGCAACAGCACGCAGCGACCACGCCGCAGCGCGGGATTTCCCACATCATGCATAGGAGAAGGGGGTCAGTCACCACGACGTGCAGTAACCCACTTAGCGGGCACCTCTGTTTCAGCCCCCTCCACAGTTGGCAGGGCGCGGGGGGGCTCGGGGTCCAGATGGGCGTTCGCGACGTCGAAAATCTCCTCTTCCCCAGACGCCCGAAGGAAGGCGATCCGTCCGGAGGAGATCGGCGCAATCCTGAGCCTGGAGAATCGCACGGCGGTCCGATCGTTCACCATGAAGACGATGCCTCCAGCGGCTGGCTCCCCGCGAAGGACTCAGACATCTCTTAGCCGGGAACGTTTTTCCTGAGTTCCAGGACATCAGCTTGTTCGCCGCGCATTTCTTTCAGGGCAACCGTGTCGTGCAATCGGGCCAGCCGGCGGAGCTCCCGCCACGTCGCCTGTCGCAGCCCGCTGCCCGACCAAACGCGGCTAAGAAACGACGCGCGGGTCTTCCAGCCAACGATCGCCAGCGGGGATGCGAAAGCGGGCAAAAGGGGGTGGCGGGGACAGGGCAAGGGGGGCCCAGGGACTCAGGCTTCACATGGGGGCGCTGTAGGCCCGCACTTACATCCGAAGCAGCGGGCCCAGGCGCGTTTCGATCATAAGCCGCGCTCTCTTCATCAGAGTCAGAAGAACTAGATGAGGAGGACGAAGGGGGTGAAGACGACGGGGGAGAGAGAGAATCGCAGCGCAGATCCCGATTAGCCTCGGGGGCCAGAACTGGGCCACCACTGCCAGTCCGTGCTGCCGAGCTGGCATCTCGTGAATGTGAGCTCTCTCGACGCTGCACGCCCACGACTGCAGGGGTGGCCCTCGTTTCCCTCGGTGATCGACTCTCTGGCGCCGACGATAATCACAAGGACGCACCGAGCTGTCCGAGCAAATCCGTGACTTCTTTTTTCCGGAACCAGCCACCAGCTAAGAGGCGCATGCACAGGCTCGAAAGTGAACCCCGCCTGCTCACTCCATTTGATCAAGCAAAACTCGAAAGTGTCCGTCGCCGACGCGAGGTGGATCAGCCCCTGGACGCAGCTTACCCCCAAACGGCACCCCTCGATTTTGCTTTGGTGCCGCTTGAACAGCCCGAGCGTGGCCTCCCACGCCTGCTGGCCGCCCGCTGCTTCGCGCGGACGGCCATGGGGAGATCCTGCCGAACTCGTGACGTCGATGTAGTAGAAGAAAGTGCGTCCTCCCGCGTGATGGCTTTGCCCCCCAAGAACTCCAAGAACGCCCTGGCCTCCGCCGTGTCCTTGAAGTGCACTCCGTGAGACGCCGTTTCAGCTGCGGCTCCGCTGTGTCCAGGATGTGGTTCGGGAGCAACGGTGCCACAATACCACGCCAACGTGCTTCCTTCTGCGCGCTCATAATCGTCCTAGGGAATGTTCCGATCCATCTCTGCCACCATTCACAGGAGCCGGACGATGAGACGAACTGCTCGGTCCTGAGTTCCTACCACTGCCGCCAGCTCCTGTTACCCTCTCCTTCAGCTCGCTCAGGTCCTTCGTGAGGTCGATGGCCGTGGTCTCCAGCTTCGACGCGTTGCTGGCCGCACCCCGCGTTGCCCATGGATCCGTTCCTGCAGAGCCTCCGCTGCCCATATTCACATCCTGCGCGCCCTGCATCACCTCCAGCTAAGCCTCTATGGCCGCGGTCTTCGCGTCCCCCTCCTACTTGTCCTTGCGGAGCCCCGTCATGATGGCGGTGCGCGACGCGCTCAGCTGCTCAATGGCCTGCGACTGGAGGGACGAGGTGAGCTCCCGCAGTGGTTCCGCCAGCGCCGTCTGAATGCCAGGCGAAACCTCCGCAGCCAACTTGCCGTAGTCCAGCTCCTCGTAGTTGAACACTGTATCGTGCCCACGTGATCCTGCACCCGAGCGACTCCTGGACGAGCTGGCACTGCGCTCCCCATGGCGATGGTCGGCGCCGCCCCGCGTCCTGCGCTCTTGGCTGCGAGCACCCTTCTGCCCGCGCCTAACGCCCATGGCGGGAAGAAGCGAAAGAAGAGAAATGGCGCGCCAATCCCCAATCGAGGAACAGTATCGTGAATGTCTCCTGACAAGAGCTCACCAAGGGCCTAAGGGCAGAAGGCCTGTGTCGCGGGCCGCCTTTCCCCCCAAGGCCAAAAGGGTCTCTGGACCACCTCGGGAAATGTTTTACTTGAGCCAAAAAAGTGCTACGGAGGCGGAGGAGGAGGACGGGCGGGCGAGCGGGCGGGCGGGCGGTCGGGCTGGAGGGAGGGAGGAGGACGAGGATGAGGAAGATAAGGAGGAGGAGGAGGAGGAGGAGGAGCAGGAGGAGGAGGAGGAGCAGGAGGAGGAAGGAAGAGGAACCTGGCCAACCGAGCCCACCAGCGCCTGAAGGCCGCGGGCTGGGACGGCCCTCCTCAGCACGCGCAGTGCGCGGAGCAGGCCGGCGCGCTCCTCCCCAAGCGGGCAGCAGGCCTCCAGGCGGAGGAATGGCACCTCGCGCGGCCAAATCTATGTACATATCCACTGCGTCTTTAGAAAGCCAAGAACCACCCTCATACTGAGCACCCCGACAAGCGAAGGCATTCAGTAAACGCACCCGAGGAAGGAACCGAGCACGGCAGGGCTGTTCAGTAAACGCCCATGGCCGTGTAGTAAACGCCAATTATCGGGGTCGGGGTGGTTTCTCCTCCTTTGAGTCTTGCGCTCTCGTGGAAGGCGCCAAAAGGTCAAGGCGCAGCGGTCATGGGTAAAAAGCTGGCCTCTAGGGGCCAGCCTTGTATCCATACCCACTGCGCCTGGGGAAGGGGGCCCGAAACTCCAAGACGCCGTGAATGTGGATACAAGCCTTGCCCGCACCTCGGCGGCGGCGGCCTGCACCCAGCAGCCGCTGCCCGCCAGCAGCCGCGCCAGGCGGCGGTCGCACGCGCAGAGGCCGCGCAGGCTGCCCAGCGTGAGTGCGCGCAGGAGGCTCTCCGAGATCACGCCCTCCTCGAGAGTCTGAAAGGAGGGCAGGGTGTCCATCCCTGGGCTCGGAGGGCCAATGGAGACAACGGCGGCCCTCACCGTCAGTTCTCGTCCTTTCGGGGCCTCCTGGAGGCTTCTCGTAACCAAGGCTGGGCCCGCCTCGACAACAGGCTCAGGATGGATCCTGAGAGGGGCCCAGGGACCGATTTCTAGAGGCCGGGTGGGAGAGCCGCCGTTCCCTTAACTGGCCCTCCCCTGATAGGCGACTCGGCGTGGCTCGGGCAAGTGCGCAGAATAGAGCCGGAGCCTGAAGGCGAGGAGTGCAATTTGCCGAGACGGGTTGAGCCAAAATGGCTGCGTTGGACTCCTCTCCCTTCTCCCGCTCCGTCTTCACCAAGAACCTGTCCGCAGCTTCACTACACAAGTTGTGGACAATCTGGCCAAAAGCGGGCCCAAATGTTCAATCGTTGAACACGCCCGCGACCTGCACATGACCCGTCTGCGACCTGTCTGCACCCTCATGTAGCCCTGGTTCGCTTGAACATTGAACACGTGCTGCGGGCTCACAATCACGTGTGGAACTTGAACGTGCCCGCGACCTGCACTCGGCCACTCTGCGACCAGCTCGCGTTCATAGCCTTCCCGCAAAATCCAAGCAATGCCTTTTCTCGCCCCTGCCCCGTTCGCTGCGGCTCGGGGCCAGGCCGCCCTCGCCCCCCTTGACCACATCAAGCCGGCCCGCGGGGCCTCTAGGCCATCCAAGCGCGCGGAGCTGGCCGCGTGGGCCCCGCACCGCGACGGAAGAGCAGGCGACGCAGCGCGGCGGCACGACGTAAGGCCCCAGGCTGCTGCTGCTGCTGCCGCTGCCGCTGCCGCTGCCGCTGCTGCTGCTGCTGCTGCTGCTGCTGCTGCTGCCGACCTCCCCTGGCGGGCCTGCCGGGAGCTGGCGTCCACGCAGTGGGGCCGAGCAGCGGGCTGCTGTGGGCCGTATGGAGCTCAGTGACAGGGCAGCAGCCCGCATTGGCAGGCATCGGCACCAGGCCAGGACCAAGGCGCAAAGCTGCTGCCGTGCCCGCACGAAACATGCCGGGTCCCGAAGGACGCGGGTCCTGGACACTCGGGCTTCCCCAAGGACTGGCTCTTCACCATGGTCGTTTCTGCCCTGGGGCCTGGAAGTGGTCCGTGGAGGCTGAAAGCGGCGAGCAGCCGAACGGTCTGGATCCCTGTCTTTCGTGGTGTCTATGACTAGTGGGGCAGGTATCGTGGCTAGGGAGCTGAGGCAACCAGCGCTGGCGGTTACCATGCAGGTAATGTTGGCGGCAACCAGCGCCGCTGGGGCAAAAGACGACCAAACAATTGTTGTAGTGCTGGCAGCCCGCCTTGTCGGCAGCTGAGGCTACGGCGCCAGGCAGGAGCTGCGAGGGGCCAAAGGGTTACAGCCAGCATTGGCAGCAGCCTGGAGCAGCGGGTCTGCCACGGCGCCAAGCAGGGGCGGTAGCGGCAACCAGGCGTGGCCAGCGACGCCCAGCGGGGTCCTAACTACGGGCGACAATCCGCGCCCGCGACACCCGGGGCTGTCGGGGCTGCCAGCGGCAGCCGGCGCTTGAGGCACCCAAATGCAAACCCCTGCGCCGCAAGCAGGGCGCCTCCAATGCAGGCAGTCCCTGGGGAAACGTACGTCAGAACACAGCTTCCCTTCCTGGAGAGAGGCCTAAGACGGCCCCTGAGGACGGGGAGGAATCGCAAATCGCGAGCCACGAATCACTTCGCGCCCTCGTGTCGGCCCATAGTTTCCCTCCGGACCCGTTCCCTCCAGGGCAGGTCTGAGGGCTGCGGGGGGGCGAGCCTGTTGGAGACCTCCTGCAGCTGGCGCTCGGCCGCCAGCGCCCTCTCCTCGGCCGCCAGCGCCCTGTCCTGCGCCAGGTCCATCCCCCTCTCGAGCAGCTGCTGCATCTGCCCGTCGCGCTCCCCCTGGGCGCCCGCGCCCCGCCGTCGCCGTCGTCGTGGCAGTGGTCGCCGCCGCCGCCGCCGCCGCCGCCGCCGCGGTCGTCGTCGTCGTCGTCGTCGTCGTCGTCGTCGTCGTCGTCGTCGTCGTCGTCGTCGTCGTCGTCGTCGTCGTCATCGTCGCCGCCGTCGCCGCCGTCGTCGTCGTCGCCGTCGTCGTCTTCGTTTTCGTCCGCTCCTGCCAGCCTCCTCTGTCCTCCTCCGCCACGTCCACCCCCCCCCTTCCTCCGGCCACCTCTCTCCTCCCTTTCATCCTCCCAGCCTCCACTGTATTCCCTCCTCCCTCTTCATCTTCCTCCTCCCTCTTCCTCTTCCTCCTCCTCCCACTCCTCCTGCACCCCGTGTCAGCCGCGGTCATGGCGGACCCGCAGGTCCTCAGGAGGCTGCTTTGAGCGTTGGTCCCTCGCCGGCGCTCTCCTGTACAGCCTCTGTGCAGGGCGGGCTCAGACCGCACCTGCCTCTCGCAGGGCCGCCACGCTGCCGCGACAACCCGCACTGCTGCGGAGCTGCCGTGCCGCTGCCCTCCCCTCTCACGTCCACTGTTGCTTCTGCTGCTGCTGCCTTTCCTCCTCCTCCTCCTCCTTCTCCTCCTCCTCCTCCTCCTCCTCCTCCTCATCCTCTTCCTCCTACTTATCCTGCTTAGCCTTCTCCTCCTCCTCCTCCACCTCCTCCTCCTCCTCTTCCTCCTCCCCCGTCCGCAGGGCCTCGTCGCCGCCCGCGGAGGAGGCCTTCTCGACCCGCCTCACGAACTGGCGGAGCTTGGCCTCGGGGATAGGGCCGTCCACGCGGCCCAGCTCCTGCCACTTGTCCCCGTCCAGGTGCACCTCGCTCCTCATCGCTCCTCCGCCGCCCCCCCCACGCGGCTCAGCTCCTGCCGCTTGTCCCCGTCCAAGTGCACCTCGCTCCTCGTCGCTCCTTCGCGCTCCTCCGCCGCCCCCGCCCCTCCCCCCTGGGCTGGCCGCTGCGACATCCCAGCGGCGACAGGGCCTCCAACGGGAGGGTCCAGAGCCTCAGCCCCCGGGCGGAGATTCGGCTGCTGCCCAGGATTCCGACTTCGACTCCGACGACTCCTCGTCCTCGTTCCTCCTCGTTCTCGCTCTTCTTCTGATCTCCCTCCTCTACCTCCTGCTGCATCCCCTCCCTCTCCCGCTCTCCACCTCCTCCTCCGCCGCGCCCCTCCTCGCTGCTCCTCGCTCCTCGCCCTTCTGCTCGCTCGCGCGCTGAGGGCAAGATAGCCCCTCCAGGGCAGGGGAAAAGCAGGAGCAGCAGACACGAAACACAAGTCGTGCAACGGGAGAATGGCAGCGGCAACGGCGGGGCCAACCAAGAGGCCCACTCCCCGACGCGGACTCCGTCCCCGCGCCAGATGCGAAGACAGGAGGTGCACCTCCCGACAGTGGACGGCTCAGCGGACTCTGCAGGGCAGGGCGCGAGCCACAGGAACCTCACCGCAGCCCAGGCGGGGGCTCCTCGAGGGCGGCCCAGTGGGGATCCACGAGGCGCTGCCCATGGGAGAGACCCCCGCTGGGAGGTGGCAGCCCCCGCGACCCGCTCAGACAGCCCCCGGAGGTTACGAGACACGACAGCCCGCGAGGTTACGGATCAGCTGACGGCCCGAGAGGCTGCGGCAAACATGCATCATGAGCCCACGAGGCAACAGTCCTGAGATCCTGGGCATGGGGGGT